GTCTGTGAGGGGTATGATAATGGTGACAGCGTAATGATCAATGTCTGTGAGGGGTATGATACTAGTGATCGAGTAATGATCACTGTCTGTGGCGGGTATGATACTAGTGATAGAGTAATGTTCACTGTCTGTGACGGGTATGGTACTGGGGATAAAGTCATGATCACTGTCCGTGACGGGTATGATACTGGTGACAGAGTCGTTATCACTGTCTGCGAGGAGTATGATACTGGTGACAGAGTTGTGATCACTGTCTGTGACGAGTATGATACTGGTGACAGAGTCGTAATCACTGTCTGTGAGGGGTATGATAATGGTGACAGCGTAATGATCAATGTCTGTGAGGGGTATGAAACTAGTGACAGAGTCATGATCACGGTGACAGAGTCTCGATCACTGTCTTTGAGGGTTATGATACTGGTGACAGAGTCTCGATCACTGTCTTTGAGGGTTATGATACTGGTGACAGAGTCGTTATAACTGTCTGTGAGGAGTATGATCCTGGTGACAGAGTCGTGATCACTGTCTGTGATAGAGTCGGGATCACTGTCTGTGCCGGGTATGGTACTGGTGATAGAGTAATTGATCACTGTCTGTGACGGGTGTGATACTAGTGATAGAGTCGGGATCACTGTCTGTGACGGGAATGGTACTGGGGATAGAGTCGTGATCACTGTCAGTGAGGGGTATGATACTGGTGACAGAGAAATGATCACTGTCTGTGACGGGGATGGTACTGGTGATAGAGTCGTTATCACTGTCTGTGACGGGTATGATAATGGTGACAGAATCTCGATCACTGTCTGTGAGGGGTAAGGTACTGGTGACAGAGTAATGATCATTGTCTGTGACGGGTATGATACTGGTGATAAAGTCATGATCACTGTCTGTGAAGGGTACGATACTGGTGATAGAGTCATGATCACTCTCTGTGACGGGTATGATACTGGTGACAGAGAAATTATCACTGTCTGTGACGGATATGATACTGGTGATAGAGTCGTGATCACTGTCTGTGACGGGTATGATACTGGTGCCAGAGTAATGATCACTGTCCGTGAGGGGTATGATACTGGTGACAGAGTAATGATCATTGTCTGTGACGGGTATGATACTGGTGACGGAGTCGTGATCACTGTCTGTGACGGGTATGATACTGGTGACAGAGTCGTGATCACTGTCTGTGACGGGTATGATACTGGTGATAGAGTCGTGATCACTGTCTGTGACGGGTATGATACTGGTGACAGAGTCGTGATCACTGTCTGTGACGGGTATGATACTGGTGACAGAGTCGTGATCACTGTCTGTGACGGGTATGATACTGGTGACAGAGTCGTGATCACTGTCTGTGACGGGTATGATACTGGTGACAGAGTCGTGATCACTGTCTGTGACGGGTATGATACTGGTGACAGAGTCGTGATCACTGTCTGTGACGGGTATGATACTGGTGACAGAGTCGTGATCACTGTCTGTGACGGGTATGATACTGGTGACAGAGTCGTGATCACTGTCTGTGACGGGTATGATACTGGTGACAGAGTCGTGATCACTGTCTGTGACGGGTATGATACTGGTGACAGAGTCGTGATCACTGTCTGTGACGGGTATGATACTGGTGACAGAGTCGTGATCACTGTCTGTGACGGGTATGATACTGGTGACAGAGTCGTGATCACTGTCTGTGAGGGGTATGATACTGGTGACAGAGTCGTGATCACTGTCTGTGACGGGTATGATACTGGTGACAGAGTCATGATCACTGTCTGTGACGGGTATGATACTGGTGATAGAGTCGTGATCACTGTCTGTGACGGGTATGATACTGGTGACAGAGTCGTGATCACTGTCTGTGACGGGTATGATACTGGTGACAGAGTCATGATCACTGTCTGTGAGGGGTATGATACTGGTGACAGAGTCGTGATCACTGTCTGTGACGGGTATGATACTGGTGACAGAGTCGTGATCACTGTCTGTGAGGGGTATGATACTGGTGACAGAGTCGTGATCACTGTCTGTGACGGGTATGATACTGGTGACAGAGTCGTGATCACTGTCTGTGAGGGGTATGATACTGGTGACAGAGTCGTGATCACTGTCTGTGACGGGTATGATACTGGTGACAGAGTCGTGATCACTGTCTGTGAGGGGTATGATACTGGTGACAGAGTCGTGATCACTGTCTGTGACGGGTATGATACTGGTGACAGAGTCGTGATCACTGTCTGTGAGGGGTATGATACTGGTGACAGAGTCGTGATCACTGTCTGTGACGGGTATGATACTGGTGACAGAGTCGTGATCACTGTCTGTGAGGGGTATGATACTGGTGACAGAGTCGTGATCACTGTCCGTGAAGGGTATGATACTGGTGACAGAGTCGTGATCACTGTCTGTGACGGGTATGATACTGGTGACAGAGTCATGATCACTGTCTGTGAGGGGTATGATACTGGTGACAGAGTCGTGATCACTGTCTGTGAGGGGTATGATACTGGTGACAGAGTCGTGATCACTGTCTGTGAGGGGTATGATACTGGTGACAGAGTCGTGATCACTGTCTGTGAGGGGTATGATACTGGTGACAGAGTCGTGATCACTGTCTGTGAGGGGTATGATACTGGTGACAGAGTCGTGATCACTGTCTGTGAGGGGTATGATACTGGTGACAGAGTCGTGATCACTGTCTGTGAGGGGTATGATACTGGTGACAGAGTCGTGATCACTGTCTGTGAGGGGTATGATACTGGTGACAGAGTCGTGATCACTGTCTGTGAGGGGTATGATACTGGTGACAGAGTCGTGATCACTGTCTGTGAGGGGTATGATACTGGTGACAGAGTCGTGATCACTGTCTGTGACGGGTATGATACTGGTGACAGAGTCGTGATCACTGTCTGTGAGGGGTATGATACTGGTGACAGAGTCGTGATCACTGTCTGTGAGGGGTATGATACTGGTGACAGAGTCGTGATCACTGTCTGTGAGGGGTATGATACTGGTGACAGAGTCGTGATCACTGTCTGTGAGGGGTATGATACTGGTGACAGAGTCGTGATCACTGTCTGTGAGGGGTATGATACTGGTGACAGAGTCGTGATCACTGTCTGTGAGGGGTATGATACTGGTGACAGAGTCGTGATCACTGTCTGTGAGGGGTATGATACTGGTGACAGAGTCGTGATCACTGTCTGTGACGGGTATGATACTGGTGACAGAGTCGTGATCACTGTCTGTGAGGGGTATGATACTGGTGACAGAGTCGTGATCACTGTCTGTGAGGGGTATGATACTGGTGACAGAGTCGTGATCACTGTCTGTGACGGGTATGATACTGGTGACAGAGTCGTGATCACTGTCTGTGAGGGGTATGATACTGGTGACAGAGTCGTGATCACTGTCTGTGAGGGGTATGATACTGGTGACAGAGTCGTGATCACTGTCTGTGACGGGTATGATACTGGTGACAGAGTCGTGATCACTGTCTGTGAGGGGTATGATACTGGTGACAGAGTCGTGATCACTGTCTGTGAGGGGTATGATACTGGTGACAGAGTCGTGATCACTGTCTGTGAGGGGTATGATACTGGTGACAGAGTCGTGATCACTGTCTGTGAGGGGTATGATACTGGTGACAGAGTCGTGATCACTGTCTGTGAGGGGTATGATACTGGTGACAGAGTCGTGATCACTGTCTGTGAGGGGTATGATACTGGTGACAGAGTCTTGATCACTGTCTGTGAGGGGTATGATACTGGTGACAGAGTCGTGATCACTGTCTGTGACGGGTATGATACTGGTGACAGAGTCGTGATCACTGTCTGTGAGGGGTATGATACTGGTGACAGAGTCGTGATCACTGTCTGTGAGGGGTATGATACTGGTGACAGAGTCGTGATCACTGTCTGTGAGGGGTATGATACTGGTGACAGAGTCGTGATCACTGTCTGTGAGGGGTATGATACTGGTGACAGAGTCTTGATCACTGTCTGTGAGGGGTATGATACTGGTGACAGAGTCGTGATCACTGTCTGTGACGGGTATGATACTGGTGACAGAGTCGTGATCACTGTCTGTGAGGGGTATGATACTGGTGACAGAGTCGTGATCACTGTCTGTGAGGGGTATGATACTGGTGACAGAGTCGTGATCACTGTCTGTGAGGGGTATGATACTGGTGACAGAGTCGTGATCACTGTCTGTGAGGGGTATGATACTGGTGACAGAGTCTTGATCACTGTCTGTGAGGGGTATGATACTGGTGACAGAGTCGTGATCACTGTCTGTGACGGGTATGATACTGGTGACAGAGTCGTGATCACTGTCTGTGAGGGGTATGATACTGGTGACAGAGTCGTGATCACTGTCTGTGAGGGGTATGATACTGGTGACAGAGTCGTGATCACTGTCTGTGAGGGGTATGATACTGGTGACAGAGTCGTGATCACTGTCTGTGAGGGGTATGATACTGGTGACAGAGTCGTGATCACTGTCTGTGAGGGGTATGATACTGGTGACAGAGTCGTGATCACTGTCTGTGAGGGGTATGATACTGGTGACAGAGTCGTGATCACTGTCTGTGAGGGGTATGATACTGGTGACAGAGTCGTGATCACTGTCTGTGAGGGGTATGATACTGGTGACAGAGTCGTGATCACTGTCTGTGAGGGGTATGATACTGGTGACAGAGTCGTGATCACTGTCTGTGAGGGGTATGATACTGGTGACAGAGTCGTGATCACTGTCTGTGAGGGGTATGATACTGGTGACAGAGTCTTGATCACTGTCTGTGAGGGGTATGATACTGGTGACAGAGTCGTGATCACTGTCTGTGAGGGGTATGATACTGGTGACAGAGTCGTGATCACTGTCTGTGAGGGGTATGATACTGGTGACAGAGTCGTGATCACTGTCTGTGACGGGTATGATACTGGTGACAGAGTCGTGATCACTGTCTGTGAGGGGTATGATACTGGTGATAGAGTCGTGATCACTGTCCGTGAAGGGTATGATACTGGTGATAGAGTCGTGATCATTGTCCGTAAGGGGTATGATACTGGTGTTAAAGTCGTAATCACTGTCTGTGAGGAGTATGATACTGGTGACCGAGTCGTGATCACTGTCCGTGAGGGGTATGATAATGGTGACAGAATCTCGATCACTGTCTGTGAGGGGTATGATAATGGTGACAGAGTAATGATCAATGTCTGTGAGGGGTATGAAACTAGTGACAGAGTCATGATCACTGTCTGTGACGGGTATGATAGTGGTGACAGAGTCGTGATCACTGTGTGTGAGGGGTATGATACTAGTGACAGAGTCTCGATCACTGTCTGTGAGGGGTATGATACTGGTGATAGAGTCGTGATCACTGTCTGCGACGGGTATGATACTGGTGACAGAGTCGTGATCAATGTCTGTGAGGGGTATGAAACTAGTGACGGAGTCGTGATCACTGTCTGTGAGAGGTATGATACTGGTGACAGAGTTGTGATCACTGTCTGTGACGAGTATGATACTGGTGACAGAGTCTTGATTACTGTCTGTGAGGGGTATGATACTGGTGATAGAGTCGTGATCACTGTCTGTGACGGGTATGATACTGGTGATAGAGTCATAATCACTGTCTGTGAGGGGTATGATATTGGTGACAGAGTCGTGATCACTGTTTATGAGGGGTATGGTACTGGTGATAGAGTAATTGATCACTGTCTGTTACGGGTATGGTACTGGTGATAGAGTCTCGATCACTGTCTGTGAAGGGTATGATACTAGTGACAGAGTAATGATCACTGTCTGTGAGGGGTATGATACTGGTGATAGAGTCATAATCACTGTCTGTGAGGGGTATGATATTGGTGACAGAGTCGGGATCACTGTCTATGAGGGGTATGGTACTGGTGATAGAGTAATTGATCACTGTCTGTGACGGGTATGATACTTGTGACAGAGTCATTGTCACTGTCTGTGAGGGGTATGATACTGGTGACAGAGTCGTGATCACTGTCTGTGAAGGGTATGATACTAGTGACAGAGTAATGATCACTGTCTGTTAAGGGTATGATAGTGGTGACAGAGTCGTGATCACTGTCTGTGAGGGAGATGATACTGCTGTGACGGGTATGATACTTGTGACAGAGTCATTGTCACTGTCTGTGGATACTGGTGACAGAGTCGTGATCACTGTATGTGAGGGGTATTATACTAGTGATAGAGTCGTGATCACTGTCTGTGACGAGTATGATACTGGTGACAGAGTCATGATCACTGTCTGTTAAGGGTATGATAGTGGTGACAGAGTCGTGATCACTGTCTGTGACGGGTATGATACTGGCGATAGAGTCGTGATCACTGTCTGTGACGGGTATGATACTAGTGACAGAGTCATGATCACTGTCTGTTAAGGGTATGATACTGGTGACAGAGTCGTGCTCACTCTCTGTGACTGGTGATAGAGTCGTGATCACTGTCTGTGACGGGTATGATACTGGTGATAGAGTCGTGATCACTGTCTGTGACGGGTATGATACTGGTGATAGAGTCGTGATCACTGTCTGTGACGGGTATGATACTGGTGACAGAGTCGTGATCACTGTCTGTGACGGGTATGATACTGGTGATAGAGTCATAATCACTGTCTGTGAAGGGTATGATATTGGTGACAGAGTCGTGATCACTGTCTATGAGGGGTATGGTACTGGTGATAGAGTAATTGATCACTGTCTGTGACGGGTATGATACTGGTGACAGAGTCATGATCACTGTCTGTGAGGGGTATGATACTGGTGACAGAGTCGTGATCACTGTCTGTGAGGGGTATGATACTGGTAAGCGAGTCGTGATCACTGTCTGTGAGGGGTATTATACTGGTCATAGAGTCGTGATCACTGTCTGTGACGGGTATGATACTGGTGATAGAGTCATAATCACTGTCTGTGAGGAGTATGATACTAGTGATAGAGTCGTGATCACTGTCTATGAGGGGTATGGTACTGGTGATAGAGTAATTGATCACTCTCTGTGACGGGTATGGTACTGGTGATAGAGTCGTGATCACTGTCTGTGACGGGTATGATACTGGTGACAGAGTCATGATCAATGTCTGTGAGGGGTATGATACTGGTGACAGAGTCGTGATCACTGTCTGTGAAGGGTATGATACTGGTGACAGAGTCGTGATCACTGTCTGTGAGGGGTATGATACTGGTGACAGTGTCGTGATCACTGTCTGTGAGGAGTATGATACTGGTGACAGAGTCTCGATCACTGTCTGTGAGGGGTATGATACTGGTGATAGAGTCGTGATCACTGTCTGTGACGGGTATGATACTGGTGACAGAGTCTTGATTACTGTCTGTGAGGGGTATGATACTAGTGATAGAGTCGTGATCACTGTCTGTGACGGGTATGATACTGGTGACAGAGTCTTGATTACTGTCTGTGAGGGGTATGATACTAGTGATAGAGTCGTGATCACTGTCTGTGACGGGTATGATACTGGTGACAGAGTCTTGATTACTGTCTGTGAGGGGTATGATACTAGTGATAGAGTCGTGATCACTGTCTGTGACGGGTATGATACTGGTGACAGATTCTTGATTACTGTCTGTGAGGGGTATGATACTAGTGATAGAGTCGTGATCACTGTTTGTGACGGGTATGATACTGGTGTCAGAGTCGTGATCACTGTCTGTGAGGGGTATGATACTGGTGACAGAGTCGTGATCAAAGTCTATGACGGGTATGATACTGGTGATAGAGTCATGATCACTGTCAGTGAGGGGTATGATACTGGTGACAGAGTCATGATCACTGTCAGTGAGGGGTATGATACTGGTGACAGAGTCATGATCACTGTCAGTGACGGGTATGATACTGGTGACAGAGTCGTGATCACTGTCAGTGAGGGGTATGATACTGGTGACAGAGTCGTGATCACTGTCTGTGACAGGTATGATACTGGTGATAGAGTCTTGATCACTGTCTGTGAGGGGTATGATACTGGTGATAGAGTCATGATCACTGTCTGTGACGGGTATGATACTTGTGATAAAGTCATGATCACTGTCTGTGACGGTTATGATACTGGTGATAGAGTAATGATCACTGTCTGTGACGGGTATGATACTTGTGATAAAGTCATGATCACTGTCTGTGACGGGTATGGTCCTGGTGACAGATTCGTGATCACTGTCTGTGACGGGTATGATAGTGGTGACAGAGTCGTGATCACTGTCTGTGACGGGGATGATACTGGTGACCGAGGCATGATCACTGTCTGTGACGGGGATGGTCCTGGTGACAGATTCGTGATAACTGTCTGTGACGGGGATGATAGTGGTGACAGAGGCGTGATCACTGCCAGTGACGGGTATGATACTGGTGACAGAGTCGTGATCGCTATCTGTGAGCGGTATGATACTGGTGACAGAGTAGAATCACTGTCTGTGAGGGGTATTATACTGGTGACAGAGTCTTGATCACTGTCTGTGACGGTTATGATACTGGTGATAGAGTCGTGATCAATGTCTGTGACGGTTATGATACTGGTGACAGAGTCGTGATCACTGTCTGTGAAGGGTATGATACTGGTGATAGAGTCATGATCACTGTCTGTGACGGGTATGATACTGGTGATAGAGTCGTGATCAATGTCTGTGACGGTTATGATACTGGTGACAGAGTCGTGATCACTGTCTGTGAGGGATATGATACTGGTGACAGAGTCGTGATCGCTGTCTGTGAGGGGTATGATAGTGGTGAAAGAGTCGTGATCAATGTCTTAGATGGATAATACGTTGATGACACGGTGAATCATTGATAGCATATTATTTATGGGTTCAAAAATGACAAAAAGAGACCAATATCACCGAGATAAAAGACGTTAGAGACCATATTACCGGAAGTTAGAGAGAACCATATTACTGAGCGTATAAGAGAACCGTATTACTGGGCGTTAGAGAGAACAATATTACAGGTCGTTAGAGAGAACAATATTACTGGTCGTTAGAGAGAACCATATTACTGGTCGTTAGAGAGAACCATGGTCGTTAGAGAGAACCATATTACTTGGCGTTAGAGAGAACAATATTACAGGGTGTTAGAGAGAACCATATTACTGGTCGTTAGAGAGAACAATATTACAGGGCGTTAGAGAGAACCGTATAACTGGGCGTAAAAAGAACAATATTACTGGTCTTTAGAGAGAACCATATTACTGGGCGTTAGAGAGAACCATATTACCGGGCGTTAGAGAGAACAATATTACTGGGCGTAAAAGAGAACAATATTACTGGTCTTTAGAGAGAACCATATTACTGGTCGTTAGAGAGAACCATATTACTGGGCGTAAAAGAGAACAATATTACTGCTCGTTAGAGAGAACCATGGTCGTTAGAGAGAACCATATTACTGGGCGCAAAAGAGAACCATATTGCTGGAGGTAAAAAGAGAACCATATTACTGGGCGTTAGAGAGAACCATATTACTGGGCGTTAGATAGAACCATATTACTGGGCGTAAAAGAGAACCCTATCACCGGACGTAAGAGAGTACCATATCACCGGACGTAAGAGAGCACCATATCACCGGACGTAAGAGAGCACCATATCACCGGACGTAAGAGAGTATCATTTCACCGGACGAAAGAGAGTATCATTTCACTCGAAGTAACAAAGTACTATATCACCGGACGAGAGATGGCACCATATCACCGGACGTAAGAGAGCACCATATCACCGGACGTAAGAGAGCACCATATCACCGGACGTAAGAGAGCACCATGTCACCGGACGAAAGGGAGTATCATTTCACCGGACGAAAGAGAGTATCATTTTACTCGAAGTAATAAAGTACCATATCACCGGACGAGAGATGGCACCATATCACCGGAAGTATAATGTAAGAGAGCACCATATCACTAGATGAATGAAAACGCTATAAACAATAAAATATATAAATGATATATCTTGCGTGACTGTATTTTATCATATGTTTCCATTTTAAATTGTTTGATATTTGATTTTTAGCACTATGATTTACCAATTTGAATTTACAATGTAGTGTATTTCACGTAACAGAAATTCTTTTAATTATAGTGCTCATGGTTCAGAAATATACGCTACCATACTGGGCCGCATTTGTTGATTTTGGCGCTAAATGTTGTAATTCGGCCAACCTTGATATTTCTGTAATGTGTATATGAATATTGAATCAGAAGATTTCCAGCACAGACAAGGCAGAATCAAGGCTCCAGTTTCACGAGTAATTTCTTCGGGTGAAGGTCATATAAATTAACCAAGGGAAACAAAGTTATGATAAAGTATTGATTGTCACTTCTTCAGCACCATGAGGCTGGATACACTAGATACAGTGTCATATTTTACCTATCATAAAGCTTCTGTTGTCTCAACCTATGGCATTGTTGTAAGAGTCAACGTGAAAGGAGGAACATCTATTGCGATTTAATGTGCCTTTGTTTAATTTCACATTGAAGTCTATATAGAAACAGCAGTGTTGCATTTCAAATTGTTATATTTCAAAACAAATTAAAAGTATACAATCTGGGCTTTCAGGTTTCTAAAATAACAGCTCTATTTGTCCTTGTAGAACCATCGCACTGAAAAATAATGGAATTCCGGGAATCAATTGTTTACCGTCTACAAAACAGGAAAGAAAAGAACGACACATCTATCCTTACTATTTTCGGTTATGTTTAGCATACCTTTTATACTGTACTATGCTCCTGTTAAATCATACCATATGAACAGATTTTTTTGATAATAATTAGCCAGAAAAATCCCCAGAATATACACTTCAAAATACCAAAGAAACACTCTCATCTCTGTGACCTTAATTCAGCTACCGATGTAAATTAATGACCATAGTTAACCATGGTTAATGTTCCAAAGCACTATCATCCAATGTTTGTTCATGGCAAAAGCATGGTATCCCCATGACCATAGCATAGCAAGGCCATGACTTGTGGGGTGTTTTGACCATGGTTGTTGAAGCCATGGTTTGCCATTCACGAAAAAAGACAAGCTATGGTTGAACCTGGTTATGTAATGTAAAAGCATGGTTGTACAGCCATGGTAAGTCAGGGTTTAACATGGTCAAACATGGTTCGAAATCACTTGATTCGCTAGGACATTTAAGATTGTAGTACGTAAGAGGTCATATCCAGGTATAATGTGGAGGTACATTGTAAGAATATGGAAAAAATGTAGCAAGACACTCAGCCAAAATGTGATATTGCAATTTTTCCCACAACCACTGTAGGTTTCCTCACTCCCACTGTAGGATCCCTCACTCCTACAGCCACTGTAGGTTTCCTCACTCCCACAACCACTGTAGGTTTCCTCACTCTTCTCTTCCAAAACCACTGTAGGTTTCCTCCCTCCCTCAGCCACTGTAGGTTTCCTCACTCCTACAGCCATCGTAGGTTTCTTCACTTCCAAAACCACTGTAGGTTTCCTCCCTCCTACAGCCATTGTAGGTTTCCTCACTCCCTCAGCCACTGTAGATTTCCTCACTCCCACAACCACTGTAGGTTTCCTCACTCCTACAGCCATTGTAGGTTTCCTCACTCCAACAGCCACTGTAGGTTTCTTCACTTCCAAAACCACTGTAGGTTTCCTCACTCCTACAGCCATTGTAGGTTTCTTCACTTCCAAAACCACTGTAGGTTTCCTCACTCCCACAGCCACTGTAGGATCCCTCACTCCCACAACCACTGTAGGTTTCATCACTCCCACAACCACTGCAGGTTTCCTCACTCCCACAACCACTGTAGGTTTCCTCACTCCCACAACCACTGTAGTTTTCCTCACTCCCACAACCCCTATATGTTTCCTCACTCCCACAACCACTGTAGGTTTCCGCACTCCCTCAGCCACTGTAGGTTTCCTCACTCCCACAACCACTGTAGGATCCTTCACTCCCAAAACCACTGTAGGTTTCCTCACTCCCACAGCCGCTGTAGGATCCCTCACTCCCACAACCACAGTAGGTTTCCTCACTCCCACAACCACTATATGTTTCCTCACCCCCACAACCACTGTAGGTTTCCTCACTCACACAACCCCTGCAGGTTTCCTCACTCCCACAACACTGCAGGTTTCCTCACTCCCACAACCACTATAGGTTTCCTCACTCCCACAACCACTATATGTTTCCTCACCCCCACAACCACTGTAGGTTTCCTCACTCACACAACCCCTGCAGGTTTCCTCACTCCCACAACCACTGCAGGTTTCCTCAATCCCACAACCACTGTAGGTTTCCTCACTCACACAACCCCTGCAGGTTTCCTCACTCCCACAACCACTGCAGGTTTCCTCACTGCCACAACCACTGTAGGATCCCTCACCCCCACAGCAACTGTAGGTTTCCTCACTCCCACAGCCCCTGTAGGATCCCTCACTCCCACAGCAACTGTAGGTTTCCTCACTCCCACAGCCCCACAACCACTGTAGGATCCTTCACTCCCAGAACCACTGTAGGTTTCCTCACTCCCTCAGCCACTATAGGCTTCCTCCCTCCCACAAACACTGTAGGTTTCCTCCCTCCCACAGCCCCACAACCACTGTAGGATCCTTCACTCCCAAAACCACTGTAGGATTCCTCACTCCCACAGCCACTGTAGTTTTCCTCACTCCCACAACCCCTATATGTTTCCTCACTCCCACAACCCCTGTAGGATCCCTCACTCCCCCAACCCCTGCAGGTTTCCTCACTCCCACAACACTGCAGGTTTCCTCACTCCCACAGCCACTGCAGGTTTCCTCACTCCCACAACCACTATAGGTTACCTCACTCCCACAACGACTGTAGGTTTCCTCACTCCCACAACCACTATAGGTTACCTCACTCCCACAACGACTGTAGGTTTCCTCACTCCCACAAACACTGTAGGATCCCTCACTCCCACAGCCACTGTAGGATCCTTCACTCCCAAAGCCACTGTAGGTTTCCTCACTCCCTCAGCCACTGTAGGTTTCCTCTCTCCCACAACCACTGTAGGTTTCCTTACTCCCACAACCACATGTGATATTGCAATTGTTCCCACAACCACTGTAGGTTTCCTCTCTCCCTCAGCCGCTGGAGGATCCCTCACTCCCACAGCAACTGTAGGTTTCCTCACTCCCCCAGCCACTATAGGTTTCCTCCCTCCCACAAACACTGTAGGTTTCCTCCCTCCCACAGCCCCACAACCACTGTAGGATCCTTCACTCCCAGAACCACTGTAGGTTTCCTCACTCCCACAGCCACTGTAGGATCCTTCACTCCCAAAACAACTGTAGGTTTCCTCACTCCCACAGCTGCTGTAGGATCCCTCACTCCCACAACCACTTTAGGTTTCCTCACTCCCACGGCCTCTGTAGGATAACTTACTCCCACAGCAACTGTAGGTTTCCTCACTCCCACAGCTGCTGTAGGATCCCTCACTCCCACAACCACGGCAGGTTTCCTCACTCCCACAACCACTATATGTTTCCTCACCCCCACAACCACTGTAGGTTTCCTCACTCCCTCAGCCACTATAGGTTTCCTCCCTCCCACAAACACTGTAGGTTTCCCCACTCCCACAACCACTGTAAGTTTCCTCACTCCCACAACCACTGTAGGTTTCCTCACTCCCATAACCACTGTAGGTTTCCTCACTCCTTCAACTACTGTAGGTTTCCTCACTCCTACAGCCATTGTAGGTTTCCTCACTCCCTCAGCCACTGTAGGTTTCCTCACTCCCACAACCACTGTAGGTTTCCTCACTCCCACAAACACTGTAGGATCCCTCACTCCCACAGTCACTGTAGGTTTCCTCACTCCCACAAACACTGTAGGATTCCTCACTCCCACAGTCACTGTAGGTTTCCTCACTCCCACAACCACTGTAGGTTTCCTCCCTCCCACAGCCACTGAAGGTTTCCTCACTCCCTCAGCCACTGTAGGTTTCCTCACTCCCCCAACCACTGTAGGTTTCCTCACTCCCTCAGCCACTATAGGTTTCCTCCCTCCCACAAACACTGTAGGGTTCCCCACTCCCACAACCACTGTAAGTTTCCTCACTCCCACAACCACTGTAGGTTTCCTCTCACTCCCACAACCACTGTAAGTTTCCTCACTCCCACAACCACTGCAGGTTTCCTCAATCCCACAGCCACTGCAGGTTTCCTCAATCCCACAGCCACTGTAGGTTTCCTCACTCCCACAAACACTGTAGGATCCCTCACTCCCACAGTCACTGTAGGTTTCCTCACTCCCACAAAAACTGTAGGTTTCCTCATTCCCACAACCACTGTGGGTTTCCTCACTCCCACAACCACTGTAGGTTTCCTCACTCCCACAACCACTGCAGGTTTCCTCACTCCTACAGCCACTGCAGGCTTCCTCACTCCCACAGCCACTGTAGGATTCCTCACTCCCACAACCACTGTAGGTTTCCACACTCCCTCAGCCTATGTAGGTTTCCTCACTCCCACAACCACTGTAGGATCCCTCACTCCCACAGCCACTGTAGGTTTCCTCACTCCCACAATCACTGCAGGTTTCCTCACTCCCACAACCACTGTAGGTTTCCTCACTCCCACAAACACTGCAAGTTTCCTCACTCCCTCAGCCACTATAGGTTTCCTCCCTCCCACAAACACTGTAGGTTTCCTCACTCCCATAACCACTGTAGGTTTCCTCACTCCCACAACCACTGTAGGTTCCCTCACTCCCACAGCCACTGTAGGTTTCCTCACTCCCACAAACACTGTAGTCCTCAATCCCACAGCCACTGCAGGTTTCCTCAATCCCACAGCCACTGTAGGTTTCCTCACTCCCACAAACACTGTAGTCCTCAATCCCACAGCCACTGCAGGTTTCCTCAATCCCACAGCCACTGTAGGTTTCCTCACTCCCACAATCACTGCAGGTTTCCTCACTCCCACAACCACTGTAGGATCCCTCACTCCCACAACCACTGTAGGTTTCCTCCCTCCCACAACCACTGCAGGTTTCCTCACTCCCACAACCACTGCAGGTTTCCTCACTCCCACAACCCCTGTAGGTTTCCTCACTCCCACAACCACTGTAGGATCCCTCACTCCCACAACCACTGTAGGTTTCCTCCCTCCCACAACCACTGCAGGTTTCCTCACTCCCACAACCACTGCAGGTTTCCTCACTCCCACAACCACTGCAGGTTTTCTCACTCCCACAACCGCTGGAGGTTTCCTCACTCCCACAACCGCTGTAGGTTTCCTCACTCCCACAACCGCTGTAGGTTTCCTCACTCCCACAACTACTGTAGGGTTGCTCACTCCCACAACCACTGTAGGTTTCCTCACTCCCACAAACACTGTAGTCCTCAATCCCACAGCCACTGCAGGTTTCCTCAATCCCACAGCCACTGTAGGTTTCCTCACTCCCACAAACACTGCAAGTTTCCTCACTCCCACAGCCACTATAGGTTTCCTCCCTCCCACAAACACTGTAGGTTTCCTCACTCCCATAACCACTGTAGGTTTCCACACTCCCTCAGCCACTGTAGGTTTCCTCACTCCCACAACCACTGCAGGTTTCCTCACTCCCACAACCACAGTAGGTTTCCTCACTCCCATAACCACTGTAGGTTTCCTCACTCCCACAACTACTGTAGGTTTGCTCACTCCCACAACCACTGTAGGTTTCCTCACTCCCACAACTACTGTAGGTTTGCTCACTCCCACAACCACTGTAGGTTTCCTCACTCCTGACTCTTTGGATAAACTTGCTTAGAGTTGGTAAACATTTTTGGCTACCCACTAGTGGACGTGATTTCATTGGTCTATCTTTGATTTATGAAGTCACGTAATAATGCTTTTCGACGTCATTTTCCATCGTGACGTCTTGCTCTATGGCAATTGGTTCCCCCCCATCGAAAACACACAAGGGAAAAGTATGTGTTTTTCAGATACGAACGTTATGGGAGAAACAGGTCCCCAAACTCGTGATAATTAGTTATCACGTTTATCTAACTCTCATTAGTTAATCTTCAAATTGTGTAAAGACACGAGGTTTACCGAGCGTTTTTTACAATTTGAAGATTAACTTACTCGAGTTAGATAAACATGATAACCTACCATCACGCGTTGGGGAACCTCAATTGTTTTCATTTTTTTCGCAGTCATAAAATAATGGGGGAACAACATTGTGGCAGGTCTAGCAGCTTGAATTGAACGTTGTGTGAATCTATTCTGAATACTTTTGGAAATATGCTTCAGAATGACATTTTATATTTGTGTATGTTTGTTCCTGAGTACCTAAACATATCTGAAAACAAAAACGCACTGATATCTAACGGCACAACTAGACCACTAGATTTGTATGTATTGGAGGGTGGTTGAGATAAACTCCACAAACAATAGCTTGCATGTTTTGCCTTTTGTTTCTTGCAAACAGGTAAGAATCGAAAACGAAAACATCTTACATGTAATAGTAGAAGGTACTACGGGACAACGATATTGATGTAGGTGGGTAGTGTGGTGAAGGTCTCTATGAAATATGCTCCTAAAAAAATGAATTTTGCATTTTCGGCCATTTTTCCTATGGTACGTGTAACAGGAAAAATATTGAAAATGAAAACACACTAAAACTAAAATCCACTACGAAATTGATGCGAAAAGTA